CAGGTTTGAGGTCAGGTTTGAGGTCAGGTTTGACGTCAGGTTTGAGGTCAGGTTTGACGTCAGGTTTGAGGTCAGGTTTGACGTCAGGTTTGATGTCAGGTTTGAGGTCAGGTTTGAGGTCAGGTTTGATGTCAGGTTTGAGGTCAGGTTTGAGGTCAGGTTTGACGTCAGGTTTGAGGTCAGGTTTGACGTCAAGTTTGAGGTCAGGTTTGAGGTCAGGTTTGAGGTCAGGTTTGAGGTCAGGTTTGAGGTCAGGTTTGACGTCAAGTTTGAGGTCAGGTTTGAGGTCAGGTTTGAGGTCAGGTTTGAGGTCAGGTTTGAGGTCAGGTTTGACGTCAGGTTTGACGTCAGGTTTGACGTCAGGTTTGAGGTCAGGTTTGAGGTCAGGTTTGAGGTCAGGTTTGAGGTCAGGTTTGAGGTCAGGTTTGAGGTCAGGTTTGAGGTCAGGTTTGAGGTCAGGTTTGAGGTCAGGTTTGAGGTCAGGTTTGAGGTCAGGTTTGAGGTCAGGTTTGACGTCAGGTTTGAGGTCAGGTTTGAGGTCAGGTTTGAGGTCAGGTTTGACGTCAAGTTTGAGGTCAGGTTTGAGGTCAGGTTTGAGGTCAGGTTTGACGTCAGGTTTGAGGTCAGGTTTGAGGTCAGGTTTGACGTCAGGTTTGAGGTCAGGTTTGAGGTCAGGTTTGACGTCAAGTTTGAGGTCAGGTTTGAGGTCAGGTTTGAGGTCAGGTTTGACGTCAGGTTTGAGGTCAGGTTTGAGGTCAGGTTTGAGGTCAGGTTTGAGGTCAGGTTTGACGTCAGGTTTGACGTCAGGTTTGAGGTCAGGTTTGAGGTCAGGTTTGACGTCAGGTTTGAGGTCAGGTTTGAGGTCAGGTTTGAGGTCAGGTTTGACGTCAGGTTTGACGTCAGGTTTGAGGTCAGGTTTGAGGTCAGGTTTGACGTCAGGTTTGAGGTCAGGTTTGACGTCAGGTTTGAGGTCAGGTTTGACGTCAGGTTTGATGTCAGGTTTGAGGTCAGGTTTGAGGTCAGGTTTGATGTCAGGTTTGAGGTCAGGTTTGAGGTCAGGTTTGACGTCAGGTTTGAGGTCAGGTTTGACGTCAAGTTTGAGGTCAGGTTTGAGGTCAGGTTTGAGGTCAGGTTTGAGGTCAGGTTTGAGGTCAGGTTTGACGTCAAGTTTGAGGTCAGGTTTGAGGTCAGGTTTGAGGTCAGGTTTGAGGTCAGGTTTGACGTCAGGTTTGACGTCAGGTTTGACGTCAGGTTTGAGGTCAGGTTTGAGGTCAGGTTTGAGGTCAGGTTTGAGGTCAGGTTTGAGGTCAGGTTTGACGTCAGGTTTGAGGTCAGGTTTGAGGTCAGGTTTGACGTCAGGTTTGAGGTCAGGTTTGAGGTCAGGTTTGAGGTCAGGTTTGACGTCAAGTTTGAGGTCAGGTTTGAGGTCAGGTTTGAGGTCAGGTTTGAGGTCAGGTTTGAGGTCAGGTTTGAGGTCAGGTTTGAGGTCAGGTTTGAGGTCAGGTTTGAGGTCAGGTTTGAGGTCAGGTTTGAGGTCAGGTTTGAGATCAGGTTTGAGGTCAGGTTTGAGGTCAGGTTTGAGGTCAGGTTTGAGGTCAGGTTTGAGGTCAGGTTTGACGTCAAGTTTGAGGTCAGGTTTGAGGTCAGGTTTGAGGTCAGGTTTGAGGTCAGGTTTGACGTCAGGTTTGAGGTCAGGTTTGACGTCAGGTTTGACGTCAGGTTTGAGGTCAGGTTTGACGTCAGGTTTGACGTCAGGTTTGAGGTCAGGTTTGAGGTCAGGTTTGAGGTCAGGTTTGAGGTCAGGTTTGACGTCAGGTTTGAGGTCAGGTTTGAGGTCAGGTTTGACGTCAAGTTTGAGGTCAGGTTTGAGGTCAGGTTTGACGTCAGGTTTGACGTCAGGTTTGACGTCAGGTTTGAGGTCAGGTTTGACGTCAGGTTTGAGGTCAGGTTTGAGGTCAGGTTTGACGTCAGGTTTGAGGTCAGGTTTGAGGTCAGGTTTGAGGTCAGGTTTGAGGTCAGGTTTGAGGTCAGGTTTGACGTCAGGTTTGAGGTCAGGTTTGACGTCAGGTTTGAGGTCAGGTTTGAGGTCAGGTTTGACGTCAGGTTTGAGGTCAGGTTTGAGGTCAGGTTTGAGGTCAGGTTTGACATCAGGTTTGAGGTCAGGTTTGAGGTCAGGTTTGAGGTCAGGTTTGAGGTCAGGTTGGAACGTCAGGTTTGAGGTCAGGTTTGACGTCAGGTTTGACGTCAGGTTTGACGTCAGGTTTGAGGTCAGGTTTGACGTCAGGTTTGACGTCAGGTTTGAGGTCAGGTTTGAGGTCAGGTTTGAGGTCAGGTTTGACGTCAAGTTTGAGGTCAGGTTTGAGGTCAGGTTTGACGTCAGGTTTGACGTCAGGTTTGACGTCAGGTTTGAGGTCAGGTTTGACGTCAGGTTTGACGTCAGGTTTGAGGTCAGGTTTGACGTCAGGTTTGAGGTCAGGTTTGAGGTCAGGTTTGAGGTCAGGTTTGAGGTCAGGTTTGAGGTCAGGTTTGAGGTCAGGTTTGAGGTCAGGTTTGAGGTCAGGTTTGAGGTCAGGTTTGACGTCAGGTTTGAGGTCAGGTTTGACGTCAGGTTTGAGGTCAGGTTTGACGTCAAGTTTGAGGTCAGGTTTGACGTCAGGTTTGACGTCAGGTTTGAGGTCAGGTTTGAGGTCAGGTTTGAGGTCAGGTTTGAGGTCAGGTTTGAGGTCAGGTTTGAGGTCAGGTTTGAGGTCAGGTTTGATGTCAGGTTTGAGGTCAGGTTTGAGGTCAGGTTTGACGTCAAGTTTGAGGTCAGGTTTGACGTCAAGTTTGAGGTCAGGTTTGAGGCCAGGTTTGACGTCAGGTTTGACGTCAGGTTTGACGTCAGGTTTGAGGTCAGGTTTGAGGTCAGGTTTGACGTCAGGTTTGAGGTCAGGTTTGAGGTCAGGTTTGAGGTCAGGTTTGAGGTCAGGTTTGAGGTCAGGTTTGAGGTCAGGTTTGAGGTCAGGTTTGAGGTCAGGTTTGAGGTCAGGTTTGACGTCAAGTTTGAGGTCAGGTTTGAGGTCAGGTTTGAGGTCAGGTTTGAGGTCAGGTTTGACGTCAGGTTTGAGGTCAGGTTTGAGGTCAGGTTTGACGTCAGGTTTGACGTCAGGTTTGAGGTCAGGTTTGACGTCAGGTTTGAGGTCAGGTTTGACGTCAAGTTTGAGGTCAGGTTTGACGTCAGGTTTGACGTCAGGTTTGAGGTCAGGTTTGAGGTCAGGTTTGAGGTCAGGTTTGAGGTCAGGTTTGAGGTCAGGTTTGAGGTCAGGTTTGAGGTCAGGTTTGATGTCAGGTTTGAGGTCAGGTTTGAGGTCAGGTTTGACGTCAAGTTTGAGGTCAGGTTTGACGTCAAGTTTGAGGTCAGGTTTGAGGCCAGGTTTGACGTCAGGTTTGACGTCAGGTTTGACGTCAGGTTTGAGGTCAGGTTTGAGGTCAGGTTTGACGTCAGGTTTGAGGTCAGGTTTGAGGTCAGGTTTGAGGTCAGGTTTGAGGTCAGGTTTGAGGTCAGGTTTGAGGTCAGGTTTGAGGTCAGGTTTGAGGTCAGGTTTGAGGTCAGGTTTGAGGTCAGGTTTGAGGTCAGGTTTGACGTCAGGTTTGACGTCAGGTTTGACGTCAGGTTTGACGTCAGGTTTGACGTCAGGTTTGAGGTCAGGTTTGAGGTCAGGTTTGAGGTCAGGTTTGAGGTCAGGTTTGAGGTCAGGTTTGAGGTCAGGTTTGAGGTCAGGTTTGAGGTCAGGTTTGAGGTCAGGTTTGAGGTCAGGTTTGAGGTCAGGTTTGACGTCAGGTTTGAGGTCAGGTTTGACGTCAGGTTTGAGGTCAGGTTTGACGTCAAGTTTGAGGTCAGGTTTGACGTCAGGTTTGAGGTCAGGTTTGAGGTCAGGTTTGAGGTCAGGTTTGACGTCAGGTTTGAGGTCAGGTTTGAGGTCAGGTTTGAGGTCAGGTTTGACGTCAGGTTTGAGGTCAGGTTTGACGTCAGGTTTGACGTCAGGTTTGAGGTCAGGTTTGAGGTCAGGTTTGAGGTCAGGTTTGACGTCAGGTTTGAGGTCAGGTTTGACGTCAGGTTTGACATCAGGTTTGAGGTCAGGTTTGAGGTCAGGTTTGAGGTCAGGTTTGAGGTCAGGTTTGAGGTCAGGTTTGACGTCAGGTTTGACGTCAGGTTTGAGGTCAGGTTTGAGGTCAGGTTTGAGGTCAGGTTTGAGGTCAGGTTTGACGTCAGGTTTGACGTCAGGTTTGAGGTCAGGTTTGAGGTCAGGTTTGAGGTCAGGTTTGAGGTCAGGTTTGAGGTCAGGTTTGAGGTCAGGTTTGAGGTCAGGTTTGAGGTCAGGTTTGAGGTCAGGTTTGAGGTCAGGTTTGAGGTCAGGTTTGAGGTCAGGTTTGAGGTCAGGTTTGACGTCAAGTTTGAGGTCAGGTTTGAGGTCAGGTTTGAGGTCAGGTTTGAGGTCAGGTTTGACGTCAGGTTTGAGGTCAGGTTTGAGGTCAGGTTTGACGTCAGGTTTGACGTCAGGTTTGAGGTCAGGTTTGAGGTCAGGTTTGACGTCAGGTTTGACGTCAGGTTTGACGTCAGGTTTGGCGTCCATCAGGTTTGAGGTCAGGTTTGACCTGAGGTTTGACATCAGGTTTGACGTCAGTCTTGGGCGTTGGGCTTGGGCTTGGGCGTTGGGCTTGGGCTTGGGCGTTGGGCTTGGGCTTGGGCGCTGGGCTTGGGCGTTGGGCTTGGGCGTTGGGCTTGGGTGTTGGGCTTGGGCTTGGTTGTTGGGCTTGCCCTCATTGAGTCTGGACTGAAGCCAAGGTCACAAGACCAAGGTCAGGAGTCAATGTCAACGGTCAACCACCCACCTATTCGCCCTATGAGCAGCCCCACTATGAGCTCTGCATTAGAGTACACGGAGTTGAGCACAATCGGCAGCGCCAGCCGCCTCATGAGGCAAGCTCACAAGGCAAGGTCAGGAGTTGAAGCCACCCACCTATCCGTCCAATCAGGAGCCCCACTATGAGCTCTGCAGTTGAATAGGCAGAGTTGAGTGCAATCAGCAGCGCCAGCCGCCTCATCCCCCCCGCTGACTGCTGCTGCAGCGCCCCCACCACCGCCCTCCCCCACCACACCCCCCCCGCCACCGCCCCCCCCTTCCCCCCGCCCTTGGCGGAGGGGAAGGGGGACCAGGGGGAGGGGGTGGGGGGAATTGGCGGGCAGGGGAAGGGGAGGGGGCAGGGGACGCGGTGCTCCAGGGCGTGTGGGGAGTGCGGAGGGAAGGAGAGGCGGAGGGGGAAGGGGAGGGGAGCCAGGGGGACGCAGGGGCAGGGGCAGGGGCAGAGGCGGGGGATGCCCACGAAAAGGGAGAGGGGGAATGACCATTCCTTTGGATCGAGCTACTCTTCTTACCACCTTCGCTAATAACAGCAACACTGCTTGAACCCACCCTTCTGTCTCCTCCTGATACCACTGCTGCACCTGCTGCTCCCAAAGGTGTGTTCCCCTCTCTTCCCCGTTCCCCCCCTGCAGCTTCCGCGCCCATGTGCTGCCTGCGCGCGGAAAACTCCGCCACAGCAGCTGCAGCCGCCGCTGCTGCGCCCTTGCCTAGCTCCGAGCCTGCGGAGGAGGTTCGGCTGGGAGGCGGGACGGCAGGCTTGGCAGAGGAGGAAGGGGACTGGCTCAGACAGTTGTTGTCACTGGCGCTGCGCTTCACACGGCTGTGCTGTGAGTGAGCCGCGGGAGGAGGAGCGGAAGGGGTGGCAGAAGGTGTGGCGGAAAGGGCGGGGGCGTGGCGGAAGGGGAGGAGAGGGAGGCAGGGGAGGGGGAGCCTGTCTCGTGAGATGGCAGGGGGGCGGAAGCAGGAGATGGCAAAGGAGAAACCAACCCGTGTGGTGCCGATGGTAGCGGCGTGATGGAATCAGTGCAAGGAACAGGAGCGGCTGCCGGAGAACCATCTCTTGCGGCTGTATTTCTATCATTCCCCTCTCTCTGTGACGCCACACACCCAGGTTGCGGATCGGACGGTTGGAAACGACCTTCTGACGATCGATGTTGCTCTAGTGAGTCTGAACCGTCCTTTTGAATCTTCTCCGCTTTCTGAAGAGCCGCACCCCCTGCGACTCTCGCCAGACCTACTTCACCCGAACCAGCTGCAGCAGCTGTCGAACCTGCCCACCCCGACCCTGCTGCAGCCATTGGATTCACCCCTGCCGAGCCAGAATTTTGATCCGCTGGCTCGGCTTTCGTCCACTTCTGTGCCCTACCTTTAATTGCACCAGTACCCTTGGCTCCTACTCGTTCACCAGTACCCGCATGACTACCCGCCCCTCCATTACCGAGCCTCTTCCGGGCCTGTTCCTCAGCTTCGGCTCGTCGGGTGTTGCTAGGAGCCAAAACCGCAGCAGATTTATCCAGGGTAACAGCAGCATCGGCTGTTGATGTGAACGAGTTGGTCTTGGCGCTGCTGCGTCCGGCGATAGGAGAGGGCGAAGGGGAGAAGCCGTACCAAGCACGGCCGTTTGGCGACGCGGACGTGGCGGCGGACGAAGCGGCGAGAGCGACGGAAGGTGTTGCGAAGGCGGGAGGAGTGTTGGATTGCGCTGCTGCTGAAGGCTGCGAAACGGGCTGAGACCAAATCGGGTTACCACTCTGACTAATGTTACCACCCTGGCTAGGGTTTCGCGGGCTGGATTTGGGTCGCGATGAAGTTGAGGCGAGCGAATGGAGCGGAGGGCCGAATCTTGATGCTGCGCGGACGGCGGCTTGCGGAGTGGCGTAACTAGGATCTGGGAGGTCGCCTGGGGAAGCGAATGCGGGGGAAGCGGGAGTAGGGGAAGCGAATGCGGGGGTCGCGGAAGTGGGAGAAGCGAAAGCGGGAGGCGGAGTGCGGATTGCAGGGGAAGCGGAGGGGGAGGAGGTTGATGGAGACCGGAAGGGATTTGATAGGAAGGGATTTGCGGGAGCTGTTGGCGCTGCGTGTTGAGGCCGTGCGTCCCGCTGCGAGCTGGCCATGGCAACTGAACGCCTCTACAAATGTTTGACGAACAGCACGGGAACACGAATGTGTTGCTAGCTGATAGCGATCAGCAACGAAAAGGATCAGCTTTTTTTCCGCAAGCACTTTGAGACTTTTCCCTGACTTTTCGTCTTGCTGCGAGGTAAGGTAACGAGATGAGAACTAATCGAGTGGCGAATGTCGAGGCACCCGAAGATGCAGACGACCAATGGAGAGCCGAAACGTGTATACTGGTCGCTCTTTCGGGACAATTCTTGCAACATGAATTCGGTTGAACAGGGAAAACGGAATGGAGGACTTGAAAAACGGATAGACCATATGGAAGACGTAGCCGAGATCAATGAGCATCGAATCGAAACGCGAATCAGTCAGATCCGAAAGGGGACGGCCAGCATCGCCGTCGTCTACATGGAAAGCTACCCAGTCGCCTAACTAACGCACCCAAGTACGGCAAAATCATTATGACCACTAGCTACAAGCTAGCTTGCTCCACCATCTACAATACATGATTATATAGAGCACGTACACCATGGAAACCTAGAACATAACTACCCCCAAACAACCCGAATTGACTAACGGCAACGGTCCAACACCCTGCTCTTAGGGAGAAAAGATCATGCCCCTCACAACCCATGTTTCTTTTCCACCCTCCCCACCAACCCCCATCCCCATCACTCCCCTCCTCTTCCCCCTCTCCCTCCCCCTCATACTCGTGTGTCCGAAAGATACGAGGCCTCCACCCAGAGAGCCCCACCTCATCCTCCCTATCCTCCCTCTCCATTTCTACCAAGTCAACGTCCACCCTCCCCATAAACGACGCAGCTCGCAACAATATAACTCCAGCCTAAGCCGGTCACCTTAAAACCCGCAGGCCAAGTTATTCAAGCTTAGGAAGGTTGGTTGGGAGTGAGTACGGTATTTGACCGAGAGCCAATAGGAGTGTCTGAAATGTTGGAAGAGGTCTTAGAACTCGGGAAAATCACAGGCGTTTTTGGGACATCCAACGAACACTAGGAAGGATGAACCAATTTTGGCCTTCTTGACCCACGGGTTTTGACAAGCGCCGGTCAAGAAATGCATTCTTTATGTAACTGCATATAACATAGTTAGTGTAGTATCATCTAGGTTCTATTGTTGGTGGTGTACCCCCCTTCCCACCTACCTTCTAACTATATCTGTAACTGTTTTAAATTTGCAACCCTCTTCTCTGTTGGCCAACTTTCTCTCGCTTCCCAAACCCTAAGGTACTAACTACCTTAGTATCTTGACATGCTATCAGAGCAGGCCTGATCCTAGGCCATCTTTTCTTCATGGGCCCGCCGTTAGTCATCGCTCCCCGCGTCGTGCTGCTCGTCGCTGCCTTTGTCGCGCCCGTCGTGGCGCTCGTCACGGCGCTCAACGTGACGGCTGCGACGGACGCGATGGCGACTCCCGACTGCCGCCCTGCATCCCGTCGCCCCACTGCCGCCCGATTCCCATCGCAGCGGCACCCCGATTCCTGTCGCGTCGCGCCCGTTCCGTCCCGTCCCCTTGCACCCGTCGCGCCTGCCCGTCTCGTCGCGTCGCGTCCGTCCCGTCCCGTCCTGCACGTGCGCCAGCAACAAGCGTTAGCGCCAGCGCAATGGACGTGCGCCAGCGCCCAGCGCCAGTGCAAATGACTGCGCCAGCGCCTGCAGCAGCTAACGCCGCCCCCCCCCCCCCCCCCAGCGAGCAGCTAGCAGCTTGTCCCTCTTCCTCTCTCCCTGCAGCACTTGTTGCTGTGGGGTGGGGGGAGGAGAGGGGTTAAGGGGATGGTGAGAGAGGTGGAGAGAAAGAGAGAGAGAGAGAGAGAGAGAGAGAGAGAGAGAGAGAGAGAGAGAGAGAGAGAGAGAGAGAGAGAGAGAGAGAGAGATCCATTATGTTTTCTTGTTTCGTTTATCCTGTCGTTTCTATCCGTCGTATCTGGGCGTGGTCACCCCTCGTCGCGCACACTGGGCATCCACTGCGGGGTTTAAACCGCAGGTGGGTATCCTACCATGGGAGAGATCTACGATGGGCCCAGAGGCTGCACGGTAATTGCTGCACTTAAGGGAACGCCCCTCACTGGCTACGTTTGTATGCAGTTAAGGGGGGATGTCAATAATTGTATCCTTTATGTAAACGCATACAACATAGTTAGTGTAGTATCAAATAGGTTATATTGTTGGTGGTATATCCTCTTTCCCACCTTCCCTTTAATTATATCTGTAACTGTTTCTATAATGCAACCCCCTTCTTTGTTGGCCAACTTTCTCTCGCTTCCCGAACTCTAAGGTACTAACTACCTTAGTATCTTGACAGCGCCTTCAAAGACCCCAAGAGGCATGACGAAAACGACATGTCATCTTCCCGACAAGCCCCTCTCGACACAGCTAATCGTAAATAAGCTTTCCTCTGGTGACTCAACCAACACCATAAACGTCCACCCAAGCACCCCCATGTCTCAACAAAGAAATGTGTGAATTGCATATCTCGATTGCTCGCTAACAACAACGCATAATCGTGTGCCTTCCTGGTAGTGGTTGATATTGTATGGTACTATGAAAAAAAAAATAATAATAACATGAATAACCTGAGCACTGTTGGAAGTGGACACTGGAATGGCTCGAAATGGTCTCCGAAGGGCTACATGTGTCGTTCTTAAGGGAGTACGGGTGTGCTGAACCACCAAAGAAACATGTCCCTTATCTCGGTCGGTTAGCGGGCTGGAACTCTATCCCTGCATGGTGTGGTGAGCGTGGAGAACCGGGGTTCGATTTCTGCTGTTGGTGACTTCTTGTGCCGTAGTGGTGGGCCCTCCCAGTGAGGGAAGTATTGGAAGTGGACACTGGAATGACCCGAAATGATCTCCCCAAGGGCTACAGGTGTCGTCCTGGGAGGGTGTGGGTACGCTGCCCCACCAAGGAAACATGTTCTTTTATCCCAGTCGGTTACACAAACTGTGCAAGTTATAGATGCAAAGGAAGGTGGGGAAACGGGGTACACCACCAATAGAGAAACTAATTGATACTATACTTGTAGTCTAACATGCAATTCCACCAATGAAACATGCTCTTTTATCCTAGCTGGTTGGCGAACTAAAGCTATCCCTGCGCACTTAGCATTCGCGTTCTATACTTGGTGACACGAACATTCGCTTTGGTGGAGTAACCAAAATGTTATATTGGCAACCTCAAAGGTATTGCTAGAGCGTACTATCTCATACAGAGAACGCACTAGTTTCTATTGCATCACGTTCATACAGAGCAGGCAATAAAAGAGGGAGACGAAAAGTCAACAAACGGAAGTTAAGTATTCCGACAACCAACTTACCAACATCGGAGGTTACGCCTTGCAACCAGGTAACCACTTCCATTGGAATAGTCACACCATTGTTCCGGTATCTATAATATAATAAATTTTCAACACATTGGTGTTTTTCAAAATTGTGTATTGTGAAAGCGAAGCTGCCTGTACTAAATATTTGGCATCGTTGAAGCGCGTTAAACGCCCTTCTCTAACTACAAAAACCGTGGGTTGGAATTGTCAGAATCCCAGCCACTAACCACTGGGATAAAAGGGCTTGTTTGTGTAGCGGGTGAGTGCGCCCATAACCCCCCAGGCCGCCGTGCCTGTAACCCTTCCCTAGGATCAATCGGGGATCACCAGTGGACCTCTGACACCCCCCCGCACTGGGATGCCCGAGGTGCACACACCGGGATTCGAACCCGAGACCTTCGCTCTGATACCATGTCAGAATCCCAGCCACTAACCACTGGGATAAAAGGGCTTGTTTGTGTAGCGGGTGAGTGCGCCCATAACCCCCCAGGCCGCCGTGCCTGTAACCCTTCCCTAGGATCAATCGGGGATCACCAGTGGACCTCTGACAGGAATTCATTCCCTCTACCCACGTTTCTTGTTGTCCAACGGCTCAATCAACATCCCCACCACCCACCCCGGACCAACTACAAGACCACTGCTGCTTGGACGGACGACTCTATAGCTAGTAATATTTGTATGTACTAGCATGTGTTTAAGAACGATGCATATGTTGTAATAAGCCAGTTGCAATGAGAACGATGCCAAATTATAAGGACCAGAAAACAAGCTTTCTCAATATGGTTGATAGATTCAATCAGGGATTATACTTAGCAGAGTACATAGCTAGCGAGAACCTTAAAATTCAATGTAATACCTTGTGATCATAATCCTGTCATTTACGTTTATTGTTAACAAGGCCACTGCAACACGTATGCTGTCTTAACTCTCTAGCACCTTATCCTGTCCAATCAATCCTTGTCTGAAGCGTCAAACAAGGTTGCTAGCATCACCATATTTATTCTACCATTATATTTAGAAAGCTTGCTTTCTTTTACTTATCATTTGGCATCGTTCCCATTCCAACTCGTAAATTACAACATACACCTCGAGCTAGGAGACAGAAGTGCTAATACATGTCATTATACTACGTATGAATCATTGTACTAGCTATTAATCAGGATACTTGCTATCTATCATGGTACTGGCTATCGATCTTCCTGTTCAAGCGGCGACACTGTTGTCCATCGGTGTTGGGGCGAGGGTGGGAGAATTGTATGAGACGTTGGGAAAAGATGAGAAATACAGGTGGAGGGAAATAAGCTCCAACCCACGATTTGTAGTTGGAGAAGGGCGTTTAGTGCATTTTGGCAATGCCAAAACATGCGTTACCAACAGCTGCGCTTTCGAAATACGTAGTTTTGAAAAACACTTTGTATGTTTACAAATTATCATATTTGTACAACCTCGGCTACTCCAAATTTATTGATCCTTCCCCATCGCCTCTCCCCTTTGCTACTCTTTCCCTTACATTGGTCCGACCCCTCCGTGGTCCATCTCATTGCGCGCTTGAGTATGGCGCGTCACATTAGAATGGAATGTGCTGTGACTGGATGAAACGTGTCGTGCTTGAATAGATCATGTCGCGTTTTAGTGGAATAATGCATACATATATGTATAA